AACTAGTCGGGATTGGCCAAAAAGTCCCGTTGAGCTTGCAATACTCTGTTATCTTGGAACTCATGTCTTATTGTAATTGCTCCAATGACAGTGGGTTGCTTCCTGTTCTGATCCCATTTAAATCTGAGAGGTTATCTTCTTTACAATGACATGAAGTCTGAGAACAAACCTGCCCCCGAATAGGTTTGAGATTACTGACATGTTGTTGTGACAACAAGTTCTACAAGACTTTCAAAGAATCAACATGTCATGTCAAATCAGTAACAAACCAGTCCGGCTAACCTAGTGATTATTCTTTTGAATCGAGCAAGAGACAACTGAACTGAAACATAACAATTAGTGTATGCTTTATTAATAGTTGTGATGTGGATAATTAATTTAAAATCATTTGTCATGCTGACAGTGCACAACATGACTGGCTGATATCAGCTGAATCTATTAGTCCAACTCTGATGCGTAGCATATTACGCAACTCCCCCCGCTCACATGCAAAGCTCTGCAGTACTCAGTTGCACTTAAAAGCTAAACTGTATGTGCTTTCTCACTGCATGCGTCAAGTTTAACAAGCAAATTTAAAGTGACCCCTGCTGTTTATGACTTGTTTTAATTAACATGTTTTCCCCATGTCTGTCTCTTTCTCTCCATCTCTATGAATCTCTCCTTTCCAGCTTTTTACTCTCTAGGGGGTCCCATGTTGTCATTTGCCCTATAGCAAATTTTGAAACCTTTAGTTTTATAGGTTTTACATTTTTGTCCTTATAAATGTTCTTGAGTTTTACCCTAACATTTTCCATTAATTTTCCATATGCTTAGGATTTCATTAAGTGATCTTATTGTAGCTAAAAAGGCACATTAAAGTCTGTGCTACCTATTTCAAGAAGGGGGCCTCATCCGGGACTTTTTATCCCCTGTTCTGTATACTGCTTATAGAGGGCTGGAGTGAAAAAAGTGGGTAAAATTTATGACCACAGCTACTCCTTATGTGATGTATGGATATACCAACCTAGTGTACCAGCTATGACTGAGTATAGTATGATTGTGGGTCACTGCTAGGAATTAGATTGAGTCATATGGGAAAAGCTTTGCAACATTCTGAGAAAAAAAGTCATAATAGAATAAAGTAGGCTGTGGGTAAAACACTGAGTATTGTGCTTTAATTAGATTGATCTGATTACATGTTTCATTTCCCAGCAATCTATGCTGTTGCTCACGGTTAGTAGTTATACTGCAGTGTCACTTTATGATAGGTATACAACACTGGTCTGTGTTGCATCATCCTAGTTATCCCCCTCCAAGAGGTAGATTAGATTAGATTAGATTCATCTTTATTGTCACTACCCATGTACAAGTACAAGGCAACAAAATGCAGTTTACCACCTAACCAGAAGTGTAATAACAGCAGTGCAGAGTGCGCAGTATCAACAGTATGAACAGTCAGAACTAATTTACCAATACATATGTACAATTGATATTTACAGTAAGATATGTAGGGTAATGTATGATGAACAACAGACTATGGATTCAAATCACAAGTAATGGACAGGTACATTAAACTTGTGCAATGGAATGAGATGGGATGAAACAGTGCAGAATAAGAAGACAACAATACATTACACGAGTGAACAGTTTAATGGATGTAAATAATGCAAAGATAAAGATAAATATACAGTATCAGCATATGAACAGTGTGCAAATGAATAACAGAGCAGCATTCTGTGACTATGTGCAAATTAACAGATCACTTCAGTGATACAGGTAACAGAAATGTTACATGCCAAACAGAGATGAGAAGGGGTGAGGTGTGTGTAGTGGTATAGAAGAAGGCAGTGGGGGGTCAGCGGGCGAAAGAGTTCAGTAAGGAGACAGCTGTGGGGAAGAAGCTGTTCCTGAGTTTGCTGGTTTTGGTCCAGAGGCTCCTAAAGCACCACCCAGAGGGTAGGAGATCAAACAGTTTGTGAGCAGGATGAGAAGAGTCCTTAAGAATGCTACGAGCACATCGGAGACAGCATTCCCTGTGGACACCCTCAATGGTGTGTCCTTGTGATGCGTTGGACAGTTTTCACCACCCGCTGCAGCGCCTTGAGGTCGGAGACAGAGCAGTTCTCATACCAGACTGTGATACAAGCTGGTCAGGATGCTTTCGATGACACAGCGGTAGAAATTCACCAGGATGGCTGAAGACAGGTGGTTCTTCTTCAGTGTCCTCAGGAAGATGAGGCGCTGGTGAGCCTTCTTAGCCAGGCTGCGGGTGTTGGTGGTCCAGGACAGATTCTCTGAGATGTGGGTCCTCATGAATTTGAAGCTGGAGACACATTCAACAACCATCCCATTAATATGGATGGGGTCGTGTGTGCCTCCTTTCTCCCTCCTGTAGTTCACAATGAGCTCCTTGGTTTTGTTGAGGTTAAGGAGCAGGTTACTGTCAGCACACCACACAGCCAGGTGCTGTACCTCCTCTTGTAGGCTGACTCACTGTTGTCGCTGATGAGGCCGATCACTGTGGTGTCATCTGCAAACTTGATGATGGTTGGAGCCATGTGCAGGCCTGCAGTCATGGGTGAAAAGGGAGTAGAGGAATGGGCTCAGCACACAGCCCTGTGGTACACCAGTGTTGAGGGTGATGGTGGAGGAGCAGATGTTAAGGTAGGATGTAACCAAGAACATTTACTGATGTACTGTATGTATTCAAGTACAACTTTGAGGTACTTGTACATACTTGTATATTTTCTTCTCATAAAATGTTATACTTTACAACATCTCACAGAGAAATATTTTTATTCCACTACATTTATTTGACAGTTTCATATACAGTATATCTGCGGTCTGCTGTTCATTTCCTTAAAAGTCTTCTTCCCAGGTGCGTTCACATTTCTTAGCAAATGGGAGAGGTTGTGGCCTGGAGGACCTGGACACCATGGTTTATCTCCTGGATCTAGTTTTCCAACAGCTACACTATAAGTTACACTAATGAACCTAGAAATTGTCGGGTATTGTCAGGTGCTTTGTGTCGCTGAAGTTGCTCCCCATAATTTCTCTTAACCTTGATAAATTTTCCCAGCATGTTCATTCTTTAAGAGTCAATCACAGATGTTGCATTCCTCCCTAGCTTCAGCTTCCTGTCTTGCCGCAGCCAGTCATAGTCCTTGTGTTATTATTTGAAGTCTTATCTGTGCTCGCAGTAGTGTAAATGTGATTAATTCTGTCTGGGTGTGACTCAACAAGGCAGATCTGATCTTTTACTAATGTTAAATAATGGTACAATTTGCCTTGATAGAGCTTGAACCTACAATGTAAGCAATATGGACCACCTATCCAGCTTGGTTTTTTTAATTAGCTCTCTTTTATGTATTTATGTGTTAATTCCATCACAGTGTGCTAAATTTGCAAGAAAAACATTAAGCCCCCTAAGATGATTATATTATTATAGTAATGTTTCTGCTGTGATGTAACACGACACTGTATGACTTTATATGTATCACTGAGGTGATAAATGCAACTCACAGTATTGGAATATTTTAAACCTCAGAAAGAAACCTAACCACAAACTGTATTATGTAATAATACGTTAATGCGTTTTTGCAGTATTCATTCAGTGTTTCAATCTGTTGTGATCCAGTAATTCAGTGTGATGTAATCCAGTGTTTCTTATCCTTCTCCTTTAGGGCCTGAGGCAGAAGGGTATTCCCTTGATGGACAATTACAGATAATTACAGCATTGGAGTGAAAGTTTTATTTAACAAGCTGTGTCCTAAATTACCTATAATTGAAGTGGTCATTTTATAAAATCATTGACAATGTTTGATGACTCTTTGTGCATTTCCAGATGTTTGTGGGGCCAAAGACGTGACCCGCTTCTTCTGATTTATGACTTAAGAAAAAAATGGCTCCAGGACACTGGGGCACACAAAAACCTCAAACTGAGAAGGAATCTGTTTTTATAACATACACTACTGAAGCCTAATTTTCATTTTATTTGATAGAGGCTAAAGATGCAAGGACAAATTCTAACCACTTTTGGATGCAAGTTAAATGAACTAAATGAAATGTGGGGGCAGTGATCACAGGGTTTAATCACTTTCCAATAAGTGTCTCCTGACCAACAGCCAGTATATTATAAACTACTAATTCAGTGTTTTAAGAGATTGTTGAGTCATGGAACAAGTGCATAAGGTGTTTCCTACTTCAGGTCTCAAGAAGAGAGGAGAATAAACAATGTTTTGGCATAAAACATTTAAAATGACAAAACCCATCATTATAATCCATTGAGGGATAAAAGAAAAAGATGAAACTTTGTTCACAATTCTAAGTGTTGAACCACAATTAATTAAACTCACCTATGTGGCTTGGCAGAGTCCCTGTATTTAACACTGTTTACCCCAAACCCTGTTCCCTGGGATAATACTGATCAATAACCAGAGCTGTAGCTGGAGCATGTGGCTTTTCATTTTGTCAGTTATTTCAGTTATGAGCGCTGCAAATCCTGCACATTAGTCCTGAGTGAACTGGTGCATTTAATATGATTTTATACATGTAGGATATTTAAATACATTTCTGTCTATTTCTTTTTGGCTTGATCATACAAATTTAGATCTCATATATATACAATGAAGAAAAATACAAGGACATATTGACGTAGCCATGTCCAATCAGTGCCTGTTTCCCATATACTCTTATAAAAGGGCTTTACAGTTAGGCTATCACAAAATAATTTCTTGTTTTTATACCTTACATGAACCTGCTGGTGCTGTAATCAGCTGTTTCTTACTGGCTCTTTGATGGTCTAAATGCTACATAAATGCTTTACTGTGCTACCCAAACCCTGTCCGAATCATAAAACACACACAATAGTCAGAATCAGTAGAGGTTTTCTTTTTGTTAGTTCTTTAATCAGATAACATTAGCAAACCTGAAACAGAACAGATCTAAAGAACAATTATGAAGAGTCCCCAATGAACCTTTCCTTATACGTGGTTACCTGGGCCACAGAAGAAGACAGATGTCCAAAATGAGAGCTGTAGAGCTGGCAGTAACTCTGGGTTGTAGCTTTCAACAATGCATTGGCAGGCAGAGCTGCTCTAGAGGCAGGAATCAGCAGACTGGCTGTTTTAAAGACAGATTATGTAGATTTTGATAGACAAATGCGAAAAATGTCCCACACTCTTCCTCTTCCTCTTACAAATGACAAGTTGAAATCATAAGCAATAAAACAAAGACTTGTGCCATTCAGTACACTCAGTGGTTGCTGCTACAGCCTTATAGTCAGGGATGAACAGTAGCTTATAGTGGCTAATATAAGTTCATGTTAACAAAAAGCACTTACTGACCTGGGACGGATTTTGCTGTGTTGGGTTTGTTCTCTAACCTGTCTCCTCTCTGCAGAGTGCACCAATGCTCAGTTCACAGCTCTGCAGCCTATAAGAACTAAGCAATCAGCACTGTTGACACATGCCTAGTCACTCTGCAAGTGCCAGCTCAGCCATTATGTTGATTTCTAATCAAAATATGTCAGACGTCACCAGTTCAAACTACGCTAAACAGCTAATATGTGACAGCCATTAGCAGTGACCTACAGTGTTTTGTGAATGCTACACACAGTAAATTCAAAATAATATTTGGTATCAGGTGTTTTTTATTATTATTATTTTAGTAGCTGTGTGTACTTTACAGCTTTGCGTTTTTCCTCTTGTCTTCTTCAGGCCAGACGACCTCAGCTACAGTATCTGTTCACTGCAGTCTGTTTCTGCCATTTACACTATTTTTACTTCCAGAGGGGCTCAAACTCTAAACAATGTTCGTGATCCTAAAATCTCCAGTCAGCTTGCTGGAATAAATCCATCATTTGTTCTGGAAGTGTTGCTTCCTCTTGTCTGTCACATCATCTGAGTCCTTGGCATGGAGTCCTGCTGGTGTCCAGGGTACCAGTGTCCAAAATTGTTCACGTATCCTCCAGAGTGCACTGGTGCACTTTTGGTGGCCATGCTGATGTCCCATAGGGAACAAGGAGAGGAGGAGGAGGATGGTGGCGGAGGAGGGACGAGGTGATCTCCTTCAGGTCCGCAGGGTCCATTCTTCATGATCTTTTTGTATTTGGATCGTTTGTTTTGGAACCAGATTTTCACCTGAGGGACAAGGAAAATGAAAGAGTTGGTAAGAAATCCTGAGCTGATCCAAACAACAGCATTTGTGACTGTGTTGTAATAATGGACAGTAGAAGGATGACAGGAAATCAGTGGAGAGAGGACAAAAGAATTCATCTGCTGCCAGACTCAAACTGGGGAACCATGCAAATGTTTGACTGGTGTGTCAAACCCCACCAGGGGGATTTACTGGCTGTGTTTCTGGGCTGTGGGTCGGTGAATGTATTACTGTAATAGAGCAGCATTCATCTATCCATCTGCGCCAGTGTAACTTTTATCCTTAACCAGCATTAAATGAAAATTAAATGAAAAGCACAACAAAACCACATTTCCATTAGAACAAGTATATTAAATACATTAAATGAAATTAAAAGTTAAATTTGGTAACAAAAATTGATAAATTGATTAAAAGTATTATAATTTCATTCAACTGAGAATAACTACAGTAACTAATGATGAGGAAAAAGGGACAAATAACAATGTTAATTACAATTCAGCCTTATTCAATAATCTGCATGCATACATAAAATTACACATTTTCACAAAGATTTCCTTCTCCCAGAAATACTCATTCATATAAGGCTGATTTAGCTGCTTGACCTATTGCACTAATACGCAGCATCTTGCATTTCAGTAACTGATATCATAGCTGCTGTATGAAAGAAAACAGATTTATAGACCAAATGTACCCACAATCCCACTAAAAATTTAGACAGGAGGCTGCAAAAACAGCAGCTGGGATAAACCATGAAAACATGAGGCAGCCAACAACCGTTAACATGCCATTATCAAGAGGCAAACTGTAAGATTATTTCAGTCAACAGTCATGTTTATCAATGGGATGAGTGAGAGATAGTTGCCAACTGTCAACGATCTGAGACTCGTCTCACGTTAAGTCCAGCAACCGAACGGTATTTTATTCAAAGTTAAGTGAATCCAGCTTCAAATAACCATAATGAATATTGTAAAGATTAAAAAAAATAAAAACAAAAGTACAATATAAAGTATAATGTATGATAAGTTGGGACAACAGTACCAAGCACAGACACACCCTGCAGGAACATCATTAGAGATAACAATGCAATAACATAACCTGCAATCAGCTAATAATGAGTTGTACAGATGAACAAGTGATTGTGAAATAATAAGCAGACATTAATAATATAACAGACAGAGGTGTTGGTATAACAATGTCACAGCACTATTGACTACCACAGATACTAGCCATGTAGTATTAATATGTGAATATTTTTTCTGTGGTTACAGAGGATTTAGCCGTGTTGTTGTTCATATAATTGGCATGTTCTCTGTTTCCAGCATACTTGCAAATTGCGCGTCAAATTACACCACTGTGCCTCTTGGGCAGTCTGTCACCTTGCCAGGAACAAATAAATCATAAATAATCAGCCACCGTCAGTGAAGAATACTTTTGTCTGAAGCTGGTTTTAACTGCACCATGAAGGAAAAACTGAAGGCTCAAAGGATCGCTGGTGCAGCGCTGCGAAAAAGCTCTGACTGGCAACCAGAGGAGAGAAAGGCAAAAGAATCAAGAGACAAAAGAGACACTCTTGTTTTCTCTTCTGCGCTGACAGTCACAGGGACATATTACTTTCGGATTTTATTTGTGAAGTTGGTTTATGGAAAAGATTCATAAACAAGTCTAATTTCAGACTAGTTTAATTCTAAATGTGTGGAAAAAATGATCCTTTTGCTTGCTGCACAGCTTAAACAGTGAGGAAGTCATGTGTAGCAAAATTAGAAATTTAATTTGATCTCTTTTGTTCCTGCTGGCATCAATCATGTCCTGTTAGAACCTAGTGTGGATTGTGACAAAGGCATTACATTATACCATTACAAATAATGCCACACAGTTCTAACAGCCAAAAACTGCAGTGCCAGCAGTATAATAATCACCTTGCTGAAGCTGTTGTGAAGTGCAGGCTATGAGACCAGGAGTCAGTCAGCAGCATGTTAAGTTAATGCGGCCTCAGTGAGAGGATTTCTGCATTAATTATTGGTTTCATATTCTAACAGCAACATGGAGCTGACGGCTTCCTGGAGAGCATACCTAATGACACTGACAGGGGAGGAGGGTGGCTGAGAGGCAGGCCAGGTGTCCCCGTGTGTGTTTAGATGACTTTCTATGGACGCATGGACAAATTGTATTTTGATACCACTGCTATGAGGATATTTTAACAAGTCCTGACAACTTCAGTGGGTTGTTTGAGGGTCAAGACTTGGTTTTAGGGTTCAAGCTAGAATGAGGTTTAGGTTAGGGGGAGTGTTGGGGTTAAACATTTAGTTGTGATGGTAAGGAACTAGGGAATGCGTAATGTCAGAGAAAGTTTCAAGGAGAAGCATTACGATTGTGCTACGTGCCATTTCTTAGCTGCATCTGGAAACATTAGAGATTTTGATGGAGAGTGATCAGCGACTGGCTGCCAGCCTAATGGCAGATTAGATATGTGGTGTATGATCACTGTCTTAAAGTGTGTGTGTGTGTTATAAAAGAAGCTACGTATGTTTCACTAGATGCATTGGGTTGTGTGTCTCTGGGTGGACTAAAGTGCACGCATACACATGAGGAATGTGCGTACGTGGTCAATACATATTCTCTGTACTTGTACTGTTAGGTACGCACACCATGCTAATTACAGCTGAATGAAAACAACACAAAATCATGTTTTAGTAAAACCTTGTCGGTGTCACCATTTACTGTCAGCACCAGGAAAAAAGGCCTAAAAAACAAATTTTTTCACAAATGAAAAAACAAAAAACATTATATTAGCATTGTTTGAGAGAAACCGGCTTTTTACACATATCTAGTAGTGTGCAAGAAGAAGAGTTTTGTCATAACTGTATTTATATCACAGGTTAGTCTCTTGTTGTTAGCATTGGGCACCAAATTTATTAGACATAATACTAGTTTGAGGACAAAACCCTGGATTATAATGTTGTTTAACATTTTAATGTCAGTATTTCAGATGTGACTGCTATTTACAATATTTGCACATGACAACTATCAGGTGGTTAAAGGTACTAGATAGGAAACATGAGTAAACAGGGCTACAACAGCCCCTAGGTTAGTCAAAAGTATTTGGAATAAAAAATGAAGGAATTTACAAGTTCATCCGTCTATTCTAAGTATCCATCACAGCTTATAGCTGAATAAAATTTTACCACAGTTTCACAAATACCTGAAAATAATTATTTGAATAATCAAAATCTGATCCACTCACTCTAGTAAAATTCAGAAAACAAGTTTCATGCTGTAATAAAACCCTAGTTGTAATTATCTGTAATTAACTAAAGGTTAGCAAATGACTGTGGTTATAGTTAAGGTAGGGCTAAGGTTAAAGCTATTAAAATGCTTGTGTATATAGTTTGACCTTTTGGGAAACATGAAAATTTGCTTCCTAGCCAATACTTTGGTGAAAATATACATATGGTAAACAATATGTTACAACCTACAGCTTGTTATCTTATAAAAATTAGAAAGGAGGAAACTGCTAACCTAGTTCTGCCCACTGGTAAAATCCACATACCAGCTCCTTTAAAGCTAACTAATTAACATGTTACTGTATGTATGAGTAGACATTCTAAATATACTGTAGTCCAGTACAGCACCACCTTTAATTATGACCTCAGTAATAAACATAATTGAATTTATACATTTATAACAATTTAATGAAAAACTGAGACATTTTGAGTTTCATAAAACTCAACTTGACTTTTAACTGGGGGGCAGTACAGCGGTGTGGTGGTTAGTGTCACCTTACAGCAAGAAAGTTCCAGGTTCAAGCCCAGGCTGACCCTGTGCCTTTCTCTAGGTACTCTGGCTTCCCCCCACAGTCCCAAGTAATGTCTTTAAAGTGCTAGTAGGTGTGAGCACAGGTGTTTGTCTACATGTCAGCCCTGTGATAGACTGGCGACCTGTCCACGGTGTACCCCACCTCTTGCCCAATGTCAGCTGGGAATGGATCCAGCCCCCCTGGTGCTCTCTTCAGGAATAAGCAGTATAGACAATGAATGTATATATTGTTCATTTAATCTGTACAAAAGCCAAAATGATTTTTATCAGTGGTCATGTGCTGGACTATTTCTGTGACCATAACTTCCTAGAGTCTCCGCTGGCTTTCCGGCAACCTTACTGTGACAGCAGGAGTCCTACAAATAAGTCCTTCAGTTTGTGAGATGTGCAATTGGCCAATACAACTATAATTCCTATGATACTGGGCTGAATTAAACAAAATGTAACACCAGTTTACAGTTAAATAATGATGTCCAACCAGAACATTATTTAGCCGACAAGCTGAAGGTAGCTTGGTTACATGCTGTATGTAAAGGATTCCATTTTTCTATCTTTCTATCTGGAAACATAAAAAAGGGAAAGCATTCACACTTTAGCCTAACATGGATGGAGCCAGGGGGTGGCCAGGGGTGGCACCAACCACCTCCAGAATCTGATTGGCCACCCCTGCCAGAGACATATTCTAATGCTTAACAGTATTAATGAATGAGAAATGAAAACACATTGTTACCATAAATGCAGCTAACATTATTCTCGTGCTTTATAAATGATATTTGTCAAATTAATTCCATTGCATTAATTAACAGAACTAGGGTTTTAATTTACTTTTTACATGTATTTCAAATGCGCCACCCATCTGAGTCCGTGCCCAAGCCTGGCCACCCCATCCAAAATCTTCTACATCCGTCCCCGTACCCCAAGATCACAAAATGTGTCTGCGTTCCTCAAACTACAATCAGTAATCCTTTAATTACACTCTATTATCAGTTGAACTCTGACATATTGTAAAGGCTGTAACACAGTGAGTCGAAGATACCCACTTTCCCTTATCCAAAACACCTCAGAAAATAAATAAAGGTAAAAAACAACAATAATAATAATATAGTGTACTTCTTTGTTGTCCATGCATGCGAATATGACTTCCAGTAGACCACATTCAAAACCACTTTGCCACAACAAAGGGCAAAGGCAAACCAACAGATCATCTCTTACACCCAGTGTAAACATAGCTGCAGCGGTTAATTCAAACAGGATTAGGTTGGTTCATATGATGACACAAGCTGCTTATATAGACTCTCTACGCACATACATACCACACATATCATATTTCAAATGAGATCTTCACAAACAGTCCTATCAAATCTTTCCAAAGAGACGGTACTCAGATCTTTTTCACATCTTCTAAGTGTCTCATGCACTATATTGTGATGCTCCACAGAGCACTATGTGACTTTTAAAAACTAAGCCTAGATACATCACAAACCACTTTGTTTCTTGGCAGAAAGATGCTGCAACATGCCCCATCTCCTTTCTTGCTGCTACATGAACCATGACAACACTCACAGTCAGGATGGTAGCAGCTCTAACAAACAGTGATTGTACACAGAGCACTTAGAATCACTGAGAATACATTTAAAACAATTATATGTTATTAATGAAAAAAAGTTTCAAAATCTGACATGGGGCGCCCCAGTGCAAAAAGCAGTTTAGATTATTTTTGGTGACAAATTACACAACCAAAAGAAAGAAACTACCTTAGATATTTGCTCAAAATTTAAATCTGAATCTTTTTTGACTGCTGTTTTACCATGTTAAATCAGATGTACATTATAGAAATATATCCTTTCTGTGAAAACAGTTTACAGTAACTATGCAGCAGAGCTAAAATCAAGCTAAAATGCTAAAGAAATACAGTTACTGGTATATCAAGTGAAAGGTAGCTGAATGGCAAGACAGTCATGTCTAACTGTGGCTAAACCTAACTTTAATTATGTATA